CAAGAACAGTTCCATGTAGAATACAAATAGGAAGCATTAGATGACTACATCTCAGGGATACAGAGTTGTCCAGGCTAGTTTAATTTACGTAGAGGCTCAGGATTGGCCAATCTGTTCACCCTCAGGGGCTGTCTGGAATTATAGATCAGGGACCTTATTGTCATACCCCAGCTGCCGCACAAAGCCAGTAGAAGAAAGGAGATTTACGAGTATTTCAACAGCACTGAACCAGGGATACAGAAGCTATACAACTGGGAGTACAGTGACTCTAAATCTGTAGGCATTATGCAAAAAGAAAATGCAGAGTTTGGTATCAAGGGAGCTCTCCAGGAGCAATAGGACATCTTTGTAAATTCTCTAAAGAATAAATTTAACAGTTATTAAAGAACAACACCCTGTTATTGCAGTCACTGAACTTTACATCACAAGGAAAGATGCAAGGGATTTTCAGAAAGACATCTGTCATTTAACAGTGACAGTGACCTCAGCACTGACAAGCAATTCAAATCCCCAGTGATGAAACAAATTAACCCCTTGATACAGGGTGGGTTGAGAACTCTAGCATTCAGATTGCAGCATGTTACTGCGGTACATCCTATTGAGGCTTTTAGCTTCGGAGCAGTAATAAAAACTAGCAGGGCTTGTTTTTAATTAAAATGGTTGCATATAAAGGATTATTCATATCATTATTTTACTTCACTTAGGCAAAATGGACAGCACTGTAAAGGGGCAAAAGAACTGGCTACACTATTATGTGCCTCACTGAAAAAACCTTTATACATGTGTCACTAAGAAGTAGAGGAACTAAAATCCTGTATTAACTTCTGCAGCTCACAAAAGATGACCATTTGTTATACTAAGTAGGAATTCAGCCAATCTGATTCCATCTAAGCCCGATTCCCAGATACATAATTTTTTCCACCGGTAAAGGCTAGGATCTAGTCCTTCAATCTGATCTGTACATGCTTACCATTACTCCTATGCAGTTCCACTACTGCTCCACAGAACCAAAATCTGTTACACGTGCCAACTGCTAGACAGCTGTGCAAGTAAAAGATACACCAACACAGGTACTCCACCCCAGACTCAAGTAGCCTTAACAGGTCTTCAGAGGAAGATGCATAGTTCTGGGTAACAACAGAACCTGAAGCCCTGCGCTCCTTACTCATCTATTCTTCATGTTTGCAAACTCCAGTAATTCAGCCATTTTCAAGAATGGTTGAAGGAGAAAGTATGTTGTTTCCTCATGTTAAAGAATTCTTACAAATTCATAGCTGATAAGCCATAGTATGTACACACTTTGGAGCAAGAACTTGATTTGAGAAGAGGTCTCTCCAGTGTCAAACAAGTGCCGTTGGCTGACCCTGCATATAGAAGCCCAAATTTGGTTGGGCTTTTCTGTGTCCTTTGCACATATTCAAATGAGATTTGTTAGAAGAGTTTGGCAGCCAAATTTTATGACTCCTTCAGTACTGAACACATTGCAGCCCAGAGCTGCAGGGGCTCAGCAGGACCTCCATTTTGTTTATTCCTCTCAGCTACAAGAGATAAAAAATCCTTTACATTGAATCAGATAGTATTCAGTACAAAAGGAACACTGGTTTCTAACAGAGGTATGTACTTCTCTTTGCTAAACCCCGTGGAAGATGTAGACTACTTTTCTTTCCTTGCATTTTTATCAGCAGTAATCCTATTGACTTCCCTGAAATGGAGTAGAGACTATCACTCAGCATGCCTGGCAGCTGTATGACTGTCATGAATCTGTTTATGGAAAGCCATGTGCTTCACTGACTGTCATTGAATTCAGAAGCAAAAAGATTCTTAGAGCCTATACTGACAACGGTGACTAAAAGACAAAGCCCTTGTTCAAAAGGAGCTTCTGGACACTTGTCATTAACAGGAAGAAGTTTAAGAAACTACCCCAAGGAAGGTCAAGAATACATCTGCAAAAAATGTGTCATCAAAAAGCACATAGAAATCTTTGTAGCATTATACCATCTGAGTTCTTGTCAACTACCTGAAGAATGCCTTGACATGCCACCAAAGCTCTTGCCAATTCCTACCTCCGGCTGCTATAGAAAAGAAGATAATATAGTTTACACGTTGAGCCTTTTAGGAGGTGGAAAACTTCCTTGGATGCCTCGTGATCCTATTTAGAGCCAGTAGTCTATAAAGTAAAACAAACACTTGGAGAACAAAGCAGAATGGGTTGGCAAAGTGGAAGGAATACAAAACCCTGAAATCCAATGGAAAAGGTTATGCTGACCTCAAAATATACCATTGTAGGTAAACAGTTAGTCCATTTAGGAAAGGTTTTTACCTCAGCATCCAAACCAAATTCAAAATGTGGTCACATATATATATTTGGTGGGGAGAGCATCTTGTGGTTTAAACACTGGATTGAAATGCATGTAACCTGGGCTCAATTTGTGATTTAGCTGGACTTCTTGACAAGTCTTTGTGACTCAGGAACTCCTGAGCTGACTTTAAGTTACCATTCATTCAGACATTGAAGTTGGCCAGAAAAACAAATTGTTGACAGCATCACAACAAATAATAGCTCTGGCAGTTTATTCAAGGCTGTGATTGAAAGTGGGATGAACAGTCTTTTCCAAATCAGTTCCATGGTAACTCCACAAAAAGGACACACTCCACAGAGGCCTTCTGGAGAACTATGACTGCACCATTTGTCCTTAATCTTCCTGAACTCAAGCTGAACTTCAATCAGACACAGAGTCATTTGGGCTAAAAGCAGCTATGAGTTATTGAGACATTTCTTAGTAATTCAGTGCATCTAACGGCTTTGGCAAGGAACAACTCATGGATCTTTTTTATTTTCACTAACCACCTACTTAACATTTGGTCACATATGCCAAAAAAATTTTCATTTTTTATTCTAGTCCAGGCAATGGCAAACACTTCAAACTAGTGTGCATTTTCGGGTCAATTTTAATTGGTGTTAAAATTAGCATGTGCTTTGAGAAGTCACACATCAAGAGTTAATAGCCCCTGTAATGTGCCCCTACAGCAGGGGTGGGCAAAATATAACCCACAGGCTGGATCCAGGCTGCCAACTGATTAGATCCAACCCATGAGCAGGCCCCTCCAATTGATTGTATCCCACCTGCAGCTACTCCTGCGGTACTCCATATGGAGCTGAACATCACCCACTCCTGCCCTGGGTAGCCTGCATTGCGCTCTGGCCTGTGCCTACCAATGGCGCTAGCCTCAGCCAGCGCGCACAGCTTCCCAGCAGGGCTGCTTCCAGTACAGCTGCAGGTGCCCAGGTGCTACTCAGCTCCCCCTGCCTCCAGCAGTGGCTCCTCCTCCTGCTGTGCTGCTGGGGGGTGGAATGGAGGGGGAGGAAGGAGCTCTAGCAGGGCAGTTCCTGCCCCCATCAGATGGGACTCCAGCTCCTGACTGCTTTCCACCCACTCAGCTGCCTGCAGGTGGCTGCTTATTGCACTAGGCAAGCAGTGCAGGTAGAAGGTAGCCAGGAGCTGGAGTCTTGCGCACTGGGACAGGAGGAGCCAATCTAGAGCTGCACACTAGGGGCAGGAGGAGGAGCCACTGGAAGCTGAGCAGCACCCAGGTGGCTGCAACTGCACCAGGAGCAGTCCTGCCAGGAAGCTATGCATGCTCACCAGGGCTGGGACTATCTGGTGATCGTGGGCAGGCTGCCTGACATGCAGCAGTGCAGGAACAGCCATAGGATGGATGGGAAAGCAGGGGAGCAGACCTGCACCTGTACTGCACTGCTCAAGTGAGCTTTGCAACACGCACCCCATCCCCTGCCTTTCCCCACCTCCAGGGACCTAGCACATGGGCAACCTCCACCTTTGCCCTCACATACACAGAAAAGAGGAACCCACCTGCTGCCAGCACTACCACTCTCTGGCCTAAGTCTGGAAAGTAGTAGCAGCCCAGCAGCAGCAATGTCTGGGCAGGGGGTTCCCCTTCCATGCCTACTCCTCCAAGACAGCACAGGCACTGAAAGTGAACCAGGGAACACAGGGGCATGGCAAGGAGCAGAAGAGACAGGAGCAGGTGGGGATTCCTGAGGAGCAGGGGAGGAACTCCAGTAGAAGGGAGGGCAGAGAAAGGGTACAGGGGCTGGGAAGAGCCCAGAATGGGAGGGAGGGGAAATTCTTACCTTTAGGTGCTCCCCCGCTGTCACCGGGGGGGAAGATATAGTAGCTGGGAGTGTTGCCTCCTGGGATGCTAGAGGATCACTCTCAACTGGTTTTGCATCTATGGAACAGTCATATGTGACTGTAATATAAGCGAGCTGCCTAAAACAAGTTGAGATAATCCTAGATGGAAGTGGACTATCTCCAAGCCATTCAGAGGGTTCTTTGCATGTTTCCTTGCCCTAATGTGTATACACTGATGGTTTAAAAACCCTTAACACATATAAGTTAATGTGTAACAACACCCTTATATTATTACTTGCCTCCTTTTGACCAAAATAAGGATCAATCCCACATAAACATTCCACAAACAAGCATCGCTATATATAACTGAACACAATTAGATTGAAAATTTACCTAACACTGCAAAACTTAAAATTTTAAGGTGCAAGAAACTGATTTATTGAACCATTGCAGTTTAAGTTGATTAGGCATGTAGTTATGCTGAACAAAAATAAAGTTCACCAAGCCAGTTTATTTTAGAAAATATCACATTTTAAGTAAAACCAATACACCACTTACATAAACAAGACTTAATTTTTTTAATATGAAAACTTAATTCTTATTCGGTTAAAAGGCTAAATTGGTTAAAAGACTAAATTAAAAATAAGAGTTTAAAAAAAAAAAGTATGCATATCTGAAGTGTAAACTATATGACTGCACAGTCAGTGTGCACAAAATCCCATTTCTACTCCCCACATTTCTTATGTATAAAATATAAGCACAACTTTGATGTGTATACTGACAAATGGCAGACTGAAATGGCAGAATCCAACAAGAGGGTGTTAAATCATTGAATGTTGAATAAAAAAACGTTCATAAATTGAGTTAGAGAAGGGGTTGGCAATTTATAACCCAGGGGCCAAATCTGACCTATGGAGACTTTGGATCCAGCCCAAACAGCTGTTTCACAGTTGGGCAGCAGGGGCTTCGGCGGAGGGGGTTGGAATTTAGCCCATACCATTCCTGGTAGCTGGGTGGTGGGAAGAAGTGGCAGCGGCAGCTGGGTCTTAGTGCCCGTTCATATCAGACATATGCTGAGTCATTCTATTCCATTCCACCCCAGCCCACCACAGGATAGTATTGCATCTCTGGGCTAGAGAAATCTGTAGTGGGAAATTTTGTTTTTATGTATTCAATATGCTAGTGTTTATCTACAGACAGTAAAAACACTGGCATTTCTAAAACATTTTATTGCTACAAACTGATACATCTTATCACAAAAAGCTACAAGGCATAACACGTACTAATATATATAGCGTGCAATGTAGTAAAAAAACAAAACAAAAACCAGCCACATTCACAGCACAATTTTTAAAATGTAACCATCCTTGCACTAAGGGGTAAATATTATGAGCCACATAATATTTTATGTCATTCAGCATTCTATTTAAACCCAAAGAGTTTTCCTTTTTCAAGTGATTAGACTATAAACGAATATATCTAATTTTTAACAGCAAAGTAAGAGAAAGGAAACTTAAAAAAAATATACAGCACCACTTTTAATCAGCTCTAATAGTTGGCTTGCTATAAAAAAAAATTAACTAAATAATCTACTTCATTTTAAACGAATGGCAAACAAAAATTCTCCACATAATGGAATGCATGCACAGGGTGGGGGTTTTTACACAACTCTCTTATTTGAAACTATTTTGAAAGTATCTTACAGTTTGCCACTATGGAACAGAAATAAAAAGATGTTTTCCCCACTTCAATTTTCTCTCTCTCTCTCTCTCTCTCTCTTTTTTTTGCATTTAGTTATCTTCAGTGTGGTCAAGGGTGAAGTCAGTTTGTTCTTCTGTTTCTTCCTCCTCCTCTTCCTCCTCCTCTTCCTCTACTTCCTCTTCCTCCTCCACTTCTTCCTCCTCCTCTTCCTCTTCTTCCTCCTCCTCCTCCTCCTCTTCCTCAACAGCCTCATCAGCCTTGTCTTCTTCCTCTATCTGCTGCTCCTGAGTTTGATCACTATTTTCAAAAGGATTTTCACCCTGTAGTTGAAAAATTCAAAAATATTTTGAAACCTGAAACTCCAAAAGGGAAATTGCTCCCTTCACACATACACCTTAAATTTTATTTAGTTGAAAATAGCGGTTACCAGGCCACGTTAGGGAAAAATCACCTGAATTGATGCCAGAATTAAACTACAGATCAGCTTAAAATTTCAGCATCACTTTATTATTTAATTCAACAGATAAACTGAAAACTGAAAATTTCATAAATTTATACCAGGGTATCCAAGTTCTTCAGACATAAACAAGTGCTCTACTTTTCTGAATTAAAAGATGACTTCAGAAAAAAATACTTTTCTTCTATCTTCCCCTATTTGCACAACATCCATCTATTCATTCTCACAAAGACAATACGACTTTTAAAAAGCAAGTTATTAGACAAAATTAAAAATAAAGTTAAACCTTAAATGACTAATCATTTAGCTAGCTTGGAATTCAGAGTTATCCTTGGGGAAACAGGGAGTAGCCAAGCAGATTTCACAAATAACTGTATTTTAAATAGGTTAGTCATTTTAGCTGAATGCTCCACCTATTAAATTGGAAAAGCGAGTATAGAATGCAACTCAATTTTCATTTTTATTTTATTATACTTATTTTATAATTTTAAAAATGTAACAAAGGCAACGGAATTCAGTCAGATGGGCAATCTCTGCACAAGGTGCCTTACTGTTTAAATCAGATAGTATCAGTTTAGACTAATCAAACAAATGTTGAATTAAAGAAGCATTAGTCTTCCAAGAGTATTACTTGAAATTATAAAAAAGTAAATGGAGGAGGGGCAGACAGGACACAGAGCTTCTGTCTTTTTGTTTGTGTAAAGAAAGAGAGAGACAGAAAAACAGACATGAAAGTGTGGATTGTTACATTTATTTGATCATTAAGACCGTATCTTTCAGTGTAGACTAGTGATGAAAGAACTCAAAAAAATTTAAAAAACTAAAATAAAAACTCAGTGAGGCTCACCAAAGCCAAAAATCCCCCAACACATCCCTGATATATGAAAGGCTTAAAAAACAAACAAGAACACATTCAGCTAGATTTATGCTCTTTCCTGTAGAACAGGACTGTCCAACTCCCCAGTGGCCAAGGACCACACCAGGAATGGTCATGGCCCCATCTCATATACCTGGCTGCACACTTCCCCAGCACTGTGCAGGTAGGTGGCTCCCTGCGCCCCCTCCTAGACCCAGGTGCAGCACCTGTGGGAGGGCTACTCCCACATCTCCTTTTCCCCCTCTGCTGCACTACACTGCAGGCTGCACTCAGCCATGCTGCTCTGCCCTGCCCCCTGGGCAGAAAGCAAAAGCCAACAAAGGGCCAACAAAGGGAGGAGAAGCCTGGAGATGCTAGCTGCAAGAGCAGTTAGAGAAATGAGGGGAATGGTGGCTAAAGAGAGCCCAGGGGTTGTAGATTAACCCTCTGTAGGCTTCATGCAACTCCCAGGCTGCAGGTTGGACAAGCCTACCATACAAGAAACCTGGAAAGAAAGGCAAATACAATTTTCTGTAGTATTTTTGTCCACATAAATGTCCATGTGTTCAAGCCCAGAATCTCAAGTCAGCAGTACCTACTAGGTGACTAAAACACCCACATCACAGCAAAGGAATACAAGGCAGAGCAGCTCTAACTACCATTCAGTTCCTTCATCAACACAGACATCAAGTAAGGACACTACTACAAGTTGGGAAGGAGGGACCATCTTGGGATTCATGTAGACACAGGGTGTCAAACATACAGCTCACAGACGGGATCCAGCTCATGGGGTTCCTGGAGGGTGTGGGAATGGGAGGAAGGGGAAGTGGTGGCAGTGTTAACTCCTGCAGCTCCCTGAGCAGAGTTTCATAGATTCATAGGACGTTAGGGTCGGAAGGGACCTCAACAGATCATCGTGTCCGACCCCCTGCATAGGCAGGAAAGTGTGCTGGGTTTAGATGACACCAGCTAGATGCCTATCTAACCTCCTCTTGAAGACCCTCAGGGGAGGGGTGAGCACCACCTCCCTTGGGAGCCCATTCCGGACTTTGGCCACTCGAACTGTGAAGAAGTTCTTCCTAATGTCTAGTCTAAATCTGCTCTCTGCTAGCTTGTGGCCATTATTTCTTGTAACCCCCAGGGGTGCCTTGGTGAGTAGAACCTCACCAATTCCCTTCTGTGCCCCCCATGATGAACTTATAGGCAGCCACAAGGTTGCCTCTCAACCTTCTCTTGTGGAGACTGAAGAGGTCCAGGTGCCCTAGTCTCTCCTCATAGGGCTTGGCCTGCAAGCCCTTAACCATATGAGTGGCCCTTCTCTGGACCCTCTCCAGGTTATCCACATCCCCCTTGAAGTGTGGCGCCCAAAATTGCACGCAGTATTCCAACTGCGGTCTGACCAGTGCCCGAATGTTAATAACATGATCGCCAACCCCGGAAATGAATTTGAGTATAGAGCCCTGTTGGAGACTTATTTCAGCAGAGGTGGGGCAAGTGACCATCTTAATCCCCTGCAGCTTCCTGAGCTGACAATGGCTCAGGCATCCACAGCTGTTAGTGCCACCACTCCTTGCCCCGCCACAAGAGTTGGCTCTGGATCTGGCCTACATATAGCCTTGCAGCCCACACGAGTTGGATACCCCTGGTATAAACAAGCATCAAAGATATTTAAGAATTACTTGAATGCTCTGTGGACACAAATACTATATTTACTCAAATATAAGACACAATTATTGTAAGATGACCCCCCTCCCAATAATTAGATTCTATATATGGAAAATTTATAAATGCGTTATGATTTTCCAGGTACAGAATCTAATTATTGGAGGTCTGCCTTGAGTATGTCCCCTTCCCACTGCTACAGCAGGGAAAAATAGATCTTGGGGTCAGGTAGCCCTTGCCCTCTGCCCACCACATCTTTTCCCCTCCAGTCCCTTTCCCCCCTTCCTTACCATCAAACCCTGCTTCTTCCTGAGCACATGGAAGTGAGAAGCAAATTTGAAAATACTGACCTAAAAATAAATATATCTATAGTAATGTATATATAGGGAAATAACTACAGGTACTCATAGACTGAAACCAGCTGTTCTTGTCATAAGTCTTGGGATCCTCCAAAAATGTATATGCCATTGAGGTGCAAAGCAACCTGGTCCAGCTCTACCTCATGGAGGGCAGGGCCACACATATGCAACAGAGAGGGAACAATACAGGGATTCTAAATAAGCTGCTTGGGACCCCACTCGGTGACATTTCCCAGACACTTAAAACTGGTTAAAAAACAGGACCCAGTGGAAATGGGAAAGAAAGGTGCAACTCAGCTGTGGGAATGGAGAAGTGCAAATGTATTCAGTGTAGTTGCTCTCTGTATCTTGAAAGAGTCAGCGCTGAGGGGAACCAAATTGAACAAATGGACACTACTATGTACCTTATTCAGATGGACTTCACTAACATATCCTTGTGGTAGGTTCCCTTCAGTATGTTTGCCCATATGGGCCATGCATTTTATAGTCACGCTCAGTGTTTGTTGCATTTAATCAACTTCACAGTTGGTTTCCATTACCAAGCATATGCTGCTTTTGGCAGTGTAATGATAAACGATGTATTTAGTGAGCCTCCTTGTATGCAAATGTAAGACAAGGGGCTTATCCCCTCCCTACCCACCCACCATGTTGACTGGCGGGGGGAGGAAACCTTATGTATATTTGAGTAAATGTTGTTATTTTTGTATCTTCATTCACACACAATCTCCATTATACAGGAGGATGTTTGCAAAATACTTCTGTTCAACTTAATATTATGTCTGAGTTTGCAATCCTTGCAAGAGCCTACACCATGCAAACTGTTATTTACTTACTTCCCAATCTGTAAAAAGAGGATAATCACACTTAGCTTCTTTTTAAGTCACTTTGAAATCTACAGATGAACAGCACTTTCTAAAAGCTAAGCGTGTATTATTCAAGCATTAACAGTGCACTTGAGGTTGAAAAAGCTGAAAGTAAGCCTCTCCTTAAGCACTGAAACACGAAGCTGGACAAACAGGGAAACCCCCAAATAAAAGTCAGTGCTAACAGTTTTGGAGGACACTGGGATGCCCATTTAAATGTTAGCATATCAGACTAGGAGGATATTACATTGCTTAGAGCAGGGGTGTCAAACATCTGGCCAGTGAGGCAGTATGATCTACCCCGTGGGTCACTGGACCAGCTCCAGCCCCAATGGCTGCATGTAACACATGGGCTAGACCCCATGCCACGTATGCTGACACATGCAGCTTGCCCAAGCTGGGTCTAGCCTTGTGGGTACTCTGCAGCCCACACACTGGCTCTGGTATGCTCAACCAGCCCAGAGGACCAGACAAGTTTAATATCCCTGACAGAGCAAGGGTCAAAAACCTTTTACTAATAACGGGCCACAGCCTGGGCCTCAGCTGCTGTCATGGGTCACTGATCCCATGCTGCTGCCCAAATCATCCCCACTCTGTGCAGAAGGCTGCTCTCTGCACAGAACAGGGAAGCTGGGGCAGGAGTAGGGGGGAATTGGCTGGCTGTTAGTAAAAGAAAGTGGAACATGGACTAGACTGAATGGGTAGGGATAAGTACATTTTTAGCAAAACATGAAATGTATCAAGTATTCATGGGCCAGTTGTAATTTTTTTGGAGGCTGTAGGTTGCTGAGCCTGGCTTGTGAACTGGAAGAAAGCAGGGCCAGAAGAGAGAAATGTATTAAAACTAGCATCATCACTGGGACTGTGGAAGGAACCGAGTGATAACACAAACAATGTTAGCGTTACCTTTTTCCATTGTCATCTTACCTTGACATATAGTTCATATCGTGCTTTCACTATTGGGTTATTCAAGATACTAGTAGCAGTCAGTACACTCTCCCTTTTTATTTGTTCTCTGTAGGCCTACGAAACAGATTTTAATATAAATACCTATTACAACCTGTTGCATGTAAAAGAGATCTATAAAACAAATTTAACTCATGCCACACTAATTAGGATCTTCTAAATTAGAGTCAATATGTTTTTCTCTCAGGAATTGCTACCTCTTGACAAAGGCCCAATATGTATAATCAATTAATCCAAGCCAGAGGACTTGTCTACAGCCACAAGCTTTCTCCGGACCAAGGGAAAAAATTAAAAGCTCCTCGATTCTATAAACTGTAGCTATGTATTTAATTCTGTTTCTAATATATGTTTAACCAGACATTGAGCTCTAATGCAAAAGTTAATCAAAACCATCTTTACAAGAGAGCATGTATACCTATAGTTTTATAAATAACTACAAAACTAAATTATAAAAACACATTCTCTGTAACAAGGGATGCATCAACTACTACAAATTAATATTATTTTCAAACTTCCTGCTTGCCAACCATTTTTTTAATTTGTGTTCTTTGTACTGTTCTATTAAAATAATTACATTTGAAAAATCATTTTAAATTTGTGGCAACTTTGTATTTCTAACATTAGTACTTCTAAACAGTTCTCTTTTCAGACAGAAAACTCTTGTTCAATTAAAAAGTGATTAACAATTAGAAATGCCTTCCCAGAAAGAAGCATGTGGATTCTGCAGCACTACCCAATTCAATGAATGTACACCTGGCACTGTGCATACACTGTGTGGATTAAAAGGACCTTTCGTATTTGGTATTCATTCCTGTCTATTCCAAAATGTAAGTGAACAAACTATTTTTGCATTATCTCGTCTAATGAGGACTAATCAATGTGCTGTTCCAAGAGTTCCAATAACTAATATTCCCACAATTTAATTTCAGCTATCATCCCATGCATTTGATCAAGAACAATGCTAGTGCTCTTCAATATTTAGTAAATTTTCGTACTAGCTTCAATTTTTAATTAGAGGTGGGAAATGAAAGTGCATCACCACTAATTTTCTCCTGATTCTTGTTGGTAGCCATCAAACAACTTAATATTTGAGCACATACTCTTATTAAGAAGTAGCCTATTTATGAAGCACAGTGTATACTTATTAGTCAAAGTACAGACATGTCAGTGACTCAGAGTTTAAAGGTAAACGTTTCATAATGCCCAAATCTTTTACTGAATTACTGGGAGGTTACCAAATCCTAGAAGTACAATGAACTCTGCCCTCCTTTTCGATATTCAGATTCCATCACAGAACACCTAACAAGGAGCAGAGATATGATAACGGGAAAGAAACCCACATTCTATTTTCACTTTCAATAAGACTATACTTTCAGCATTCCACAAACAACTGCTATTTGGGAATTACAAATGTACGTTAAATCATACTTGTTTTCCTTTTGCATGATCAGGGGATTTTAAGTGCTGTTGAACGGAACTGTGTAGTGCAGGAACATACACACTACAAGCACTACAATGAACTGTCTCTACTTTCATCATGTGGTCATCAGCAGTAACACCTAGCAAAGAAAAAAAGACAGGAATAAGATGCATAATCTGTGTCAAATAAGAATACAAAAACAGACATTTAAGGAGAAATTTAGCTAATTAAATTCACTAAACTAAGGAACTGGTGCTTACTGAGAAGGCAAGGATAATCCTGAATAAATCAAACTTATTTTTAAATTTAACATGTCCTTAAAATATTAAAGAAAATCCAGCAGTCTAATATTGCTGGCCCTAGTTATTTTAAAACGAAGGGGGAAAAAATAAAAATAAAAAAGGATTTTCTATAGGACTGATCCCACTGAAGTAATGGTATGAGTTGGCACTCTGCTCCACAAAACACTAGTTCCAGACACACACCGAAAAACTGCATGACTTCCATTAGACTTACAGATTTATAACTCTCAGTCAATATTTTCCATTTACAAGTTAATGAAAATGCATTTCTGTATATACTGAGAAAACAAAGAAATTTAGTGGATGACTTTTATTTAAAAGTCTCCTGTGATAATTTATTTAAGCTGCTTGAAATACGTTCTGTAACATTTTAAATTTACCCACTTCGAGTGCTAAGCCAATGATTTTACAGTCCTGATTTAAATCAGGAGAGAGGGAAAAGAGGAAGGCCGAGAACTGTACCCTGCTCTAGGTCTTAACACTTAATTTAAGGGTCAACGTAGCAAAGGGAGCATCCTTCCAGTGTAGGCACTGCAAGGGCAGCCACAAACGGATGCCATCTCTTTGCGAGTCCTAGAATAGGGGGGCAAACTGGTAGGGTAGGGGGAAGGTAATTTCAAGGATACTGCAGGCAATAGAAGAGACCTGAAGCAGCACTTTGGTCCATAGGGTAGCTAAGGGCTCAGTTTGTGTAGGCTCCCAAAGCAAAGTTACTTTAGCGGTCTCTCTAGTTCCTGGAACAACATAAGTCTGAAAACGAATATGGTTTGTCATGTTCTCCACCATAAACTTAGCAATTAGGCTGCTTGTGTGCTGATATCACTGTACCATGCAGCTAAAACATGGCGTGATTAAATTTCTTTGTGTTCCTTTGTCTGTACTCATGTTGTAAGTATAACAATCTATCTGTTGTCAGTAAAAGTAATCTGTAATCCAACTGAAAATAGTATTTACAGCCCACATTTCTGGAAACACCTCCTCTATGCTCTTGCTTAGCCATGGCCACACCTATCAAAGTAAACGCAGGTATCTCAAGAGGGTCCTAAGCATATACTGCTTAAGATGGGAAAACAGCTTGGGAGAAATGTTGGGATAATCACAACTCCTCTATGCTGCCTAATGGCCAAGCATAAGTAATCTAACTGAAAATCATATTTTTAGCTCATTTTTTAGGTTTGAGGATATTAACACTACAGAATCACTGGAATCCAGGACTGCAGAACCAATAGTAGGCTGGCTTTTGGAGGAGACAGATTTGAGAGAGACAGTAAAATCTATTGAAATGTTAAGTGTGCTGAAACAGCCTCCAATACAACCTCTTTATCAGGGACTTCAAATAGGAGTAAATTGTGTGCATCCCCAGAGCATGCATTCTCACTCAAAGAGCAATACTTGCCTTCCATTATATCTTTTTCAACAGCTTGGACATTTTCAGATTGACTGCTGGTTTGTTGCTTGCGCATAGCTGTCTTCTTGAATTTATTCACCATGCACTCCTGGAAGCAAGATATGAAGAATCTAGGTTAACATCTAAGTAGAACTCCTTCACCCTGTGTCAGACAATTGAAACTCTGTTACCCAGGTATTCTTACTGTTGATTAGGTGTGCATGCATTTATTATTAAGTATTTGGGGAGAAAAGTAGCTTTATTGAAAAAAAGAGATATTAATAGCAACTAACTCCAATAATTGCTTATTTAGATGCAAAGCTATCTAGAGTAAATGTTACTGTCAAGTATTTGAAAACTTACTTTTGTTTGATTACATTTATGTGGAAACTCTTTCAAAATGCAGTATTTTAATGAAAAAATAAACATGTTCTGAAGGCAATAAATAGTACAGCTTATTTTTAAACGCCAACATGGGACTTACATGCAGAAACTCCATCACTACTTTATCAAATTTGGTTTGTTTCTGGATATGGTCCAATGTTTCCTGATGGGCAGCACTTTCCAGGTGAGATTCAATTTCTTTTTCTTCAAATGTTCGAAATTTACAAAACGAACAAGTGAATGCCATTCTAGAAAAAAAATATCCAATATAATATTACTATTTAAGAAGGCTTCTTAAAAAGTCAGTTAGTGTTTTTCAAAAGTCACCAAGGTGGTCTGAGGGCTTGAAAAAAAGCAATCAATAGCAGATTACACGTATCTTCCCTACTAAGTGTGGGATACTTTGCCATCTTTTTCTGGAATTATTTATGAAATCTAACATAAAAAACCCTACATTTAAGAAATTAACTGCAGGAAGTGAATAGATGTAACCAGGCTAGAGGTTTGATTTTTCAGGCACACAGACCACATTCCTACTCAAAATTCTGCCAGTGAAACATACCGGTTAATTTAAATACTGCTATTGCTATTTAGCAATACTGTCATGAATGTCATATTGCCAGGGAAAGCTACAGCCAGTAGGAGGCAAATACTAACAGGGAAAAAATATGAAAATAGATAACCCTACATCAGGGGGCATTCAATCTTTTGGTCCTGTGAGCCAGATCCACTCCCACCCTCTGGGATCAAGATGCCATGCCACCCCTGAGCACTGGCCACACGCTACCCAGCCTATAGGACTCCCCATGGGTCTGAAAATTTGACGGCAGGAGACCAGTACTTCTTACACACCCGTAAGAAGCATGAAATAAAATCAAGTCCTAAGCTGAAAAAGCTCAGCAACGATAGTATAGGAATACAGTTCAGCATGTAAATCCAACTAACTCAATTACAAAAATGTGATGTGGTACTGGAACAATACTGAACTGTAGTTGAGTAGTACTGGAATACTGGTACCATTCTTGACTAATTTTCTGATGGTCTCACATAAGTACGGGTGCATGCTCAAATACTTTCACAAATGTTAGTAAAATTTCCTGATATAGGATAAAGCAAGCAGTCAAGAAATCTTAAAAAACGTATGAGCAAAAACTGTTAAAAAAAAAAAAAAATCACTATTGTAGTCTGTATCCTTTGATGCTCTCCTTGTAGAATACTAGGGGCAGCAGAACACTACAAATGAAAGAGCAGTACATACTACAAACAATATTAACAGTACAAACCTGTATCCATCCCCATATTTTTCACTGTTTTTCTCCCTTCTTCGCCTTTGTTTCTCTCTTCTTGCCTCAATTCGTCGCTTTTCTTCCTCTTCACTTCTGACATCTGGCTTGGAATCTTAACACACAGTAAAAGGAGTTAAAAGTATTTTACATTTCCAAAATTCACCCAGGAGAAATTGCAATGCTTATTTTCCCCTACCTCTCGTTAACAAGTTTCACAGCGCAGAATAAATTAAAGCAATATATTCCAACGGCGTATAAGGTTGGTTTGGTTTTTTGCATAACAAAAATCAATGCAAGTATTTTAGCAATATATCTTATATATACACTTCAGTGTAAATTTAGGGGTCTGAACTCAGGAAATTCAGAATATAGCAAACACAGCCTCACTAGGTGTGTTTAAACATGTTGCTATAGGAATACTAAATTATGGCACAATAACAGCCTGTACTGCACACTCCATACAGTTTTCAGCAATTTCCAGCATTCCTTATCAGACAGATTATATATATAATACCAAGACACCCAATGGAAAATGGATTTAGAACCTAGTTTGAGCCTCAATATTTCCTGTTTCAGTAACATTTACACAAAATTATACCCACTGTGTTCTTAACATCAGGTCTCAGTTCATGACTTTAAAAGTCAATTCAATGAAACATTCAGTAAGTACAAATAAGGATGATCAACTGGAAGAACAAATAATACTTAAGTGACAGAAGGGCATTAAAAAATCTGAGCTAAAACTAAAATACTGAGGGAGAGAAAAAAAAAAAAAAAAACATAAACAGGTAAAACATTCAGATGTGATCAGAATATTAAAAAAAAGACAGGCATATAAACAGCAAAAATGGCAAATGTTTGTCAAAATCAGACAACTGTCTCCTCTCTAATCTTCCACCTGTTTAGCGCCAAGCAAAATGCTTTTTCCCTTTAATGCTTGTAAAAACTCTTTATGATGAAATGAAGGATGCAGTTGCTTTTATAGAACATACATTCAATGGAATCTGTTTGGTAAACCCATCATCACACAAACGGCTAGACTAGCCTAAAATCTAGAGTTTTACCTAACAGAACAGACTTACTTCCTAAGTCTGATACCTAACATCAGAGGCATCTTTTGTAAAAAATTTCATCCACAATTGCATCCTCTGCTTCAGTTTAATTACCTTAATAAAGCCAAATCCATACATTTCTCATGAAAAAGATATAGTTAACAAGGGCCTAAAGTATCATGTCCAATTGAACAGAAGATGGTTGAGAATAAATTTAATCTCACACCATTGGTCACTGACCATTGTAATTCATTTGATAGTCGATGAACTGTATACAGGAACTAGTTCAGTAAAACCCCAATTTATCAATTATTATTTCAAACAAGCATTCATGCCTTTGTGAATGATAAACAAGAATGAAATTTAAATGACACTGTATGTAATTATTTGGGGGATACCTATCCAAGTCTCATTTTAGGTGTTCAAGACTATGAAGTAAAATAAACACTGCATGTAGTGTCATCATTCTCATTTTGGCAAAAGCCAGACTAAAACATGACTGTTTCGAATACAGGTCCAGGATTTTTACATGTGTTAGCAGATTCTTCCTTATGACTTACAAATGACCACTCCTAACCGGTCCAGACTGGTCTCTGCTTCCATGAAAACTGACCTCTTTCTTCATGCATGCTTGTCCTTTCACTTTCCTCATCTCCACTCCATAAAACACATGTTTCACCTACTGTCCTTTTCTCAGTCATCCTTCTCCATTCTCTCCATCCCCCCATCATCCTTTTCTCTGCTCATTCTTTTCTCCTCCCTCATTGTATGTTATGCTGCTCTGCTCAGTATTGAAGTCTGCAATCTACCTAAATGCATCAGAGTTGATGAAAGAAGCCTGATGGCACATGAAGCGCATGAGCCGTGTTCATGCAGTGGCTCCCTACCCAATAGTAAAACTGCTGACTACAGCTTTAAAAATAAAACTTAAAGGTTTTTTGGTCATTCTACAGGCAAGGTTCTTTGAGTAGATGTGATATCTTTTATTAGACCAACTGAGTAGTTGGAAAAAATGTTCTTGGCAAGCTTTCGGGCATGGGGAGTCTCTGCTGTTCTGAGACTCCAAGAAATGAAAGAAGCTAAAAGTGTGATAGGATGTCAGTGAATGTAAGAAAGTCAAGGAAATGGTTTGCACATGCAATTTCTTCAAAATCTGCATTTACCTCACACACACTTAAAATTAGAACCATACTAAGCGTATTTGACAGGTATCATCTGAAATCAGCATTTATGTAACACATTGTAGATCCATCAAAAATACAAAACTAGCAAAGCAGACTAACATGTACAAACTAGTATTGAAAGTTTTGAAGTAAGAAAACTGACTGCTGGGCATGCAGCTTAAGCTACCTGACACTTAAATTCATATGCCCACAAAACCAAACATTTCATTCATGCCTCATTAACAACTCTGTCTTTACCTCTCTCTCCAGTAACTTCAGAATTACTGAAGCTGTGGGATGTCTTCCAGAAAAAATGTTAAAAGGAACAAGTATAAAAATAAGTTTTGCTAATCAAAATGCAATGCATACTGTCTTTACATTTTTTTCCTTTCAGTGTCTTTTTTCCCCTCTATTCCTTCCTCTTTAATCTATTCTTCCCCATTGGTCACTCTTTTATCCATGAATTTCTTCTTTTACAATCTAGAGAAACCTCTGTGTTTCTCATTTACTTCCTAATAATTTTCCATGTTTCCTCACCTCAATGGTCACCCTTTCCTCTTTATTCTCTATACCACAGATAAGAGTTCCCTCTAGTACATGAAAGAGGTGGTGAGAGAGTATACATCTTTACTATAGTAAAAAGCAAGGAACTTTGTTGGCAGGTAACACCCTTTCCAAGTACATTTTTAAAAAAATTAAAAAGACATCTTGAAAATTATCAAGAAATAGTTGGGACACCCAACAGGAACTGCTGCATCGTGACAAGATTAATAACTGGGGCCAAGTTTCCATTCCCCAGGCTTGTGCAAGGATGAATGTTTTAAATTTTGGCAAGTCCCAATAACTAAGGTTCAAAATACTATAAAATATCAGCAGTTATCAAGCAAAATTACTGAACTCACAATATCTGAGCAGGCATAGATGCATCCATAACACAGTAGTTCTCCCTAGAGGACTGCTATACCAGGAACATATTTTAAAGATAAAGAGACATGAAATTCTATTTTTTCAACTTCAGAGTCTTGAAAAAGTCACCATAGAAAGTTTTAAAAAGTGTTAAAAAGTAAATTGCTGTTGTGTATCAGGTTTCTATACTTAATGTTAGCTTTTAAGAGAGCCTCAAATCTGAAATTACCTGTGATGATGGAGGTTTAAAACTAACTTTGTCTCTAAGCAAAAAAAAAAAACCCAAAAAATCACAGCAATCTTCCAGTTTATATTTCATGCAGCAGCAATGCATTTATTAACACTTGGTAACCTATCTTCACAAAGAAAGTGCTAGGAAATCAAACAAAAAATTAGCTGCAAAAAGTTGAAGTAAATCATCTTCTGTCCACAGGCAATTCTAACTACCTATGATCATAAACACATCAGTGCACCGAAGTGACTACATTTGTCTGGAGTTTTCTAGCTCCTACCTAAACTTTTCACCTTGTCAACAGCAAGTTCTTTAACAGTGTTAATATATGTTTTATTCCAATAGGAAAAAATGAAGAATTGCCAAGTATAATAAATGTCTTTCTTAATTCAAAATAAGAAAAACAATTAGTGCCAGTATTAATTTATTTTTCATTTAAATTACTTACTAGGTAGATTTTTTGTGTTCATCTTCATAATAGGTTTTGTCAGTTTGGGTTTCTTGATAAACGTCCCACCAGGTTTGTTATATGGCTGTGGAATCATTTTCCTCTTTATTCCTCTTGCAGCAAATGCTACAGAACTGGGTTTATTATGATAGTCAACAACAATTCCGGGTCTATGCATGCCTCCAAAGTCTCCCATAGGCTGGAAACGTGTGAAATCAAGAAAAAGGTATTGGTATACAAAATCAACAGAAACAAAACAATATTACTAAATGCCAATGCCTAAAACAATTTGTAAATGAGTAAAATGTGCGTTCTGGAGTAAAAGGCAGATAACTAAAGCTTCTAGTTACACGTGTGTTAACAAAATTACTCTGGTAATGGGGGGGGGGGGGGGGTGGTGGCCAAGTGCATATGAAGTGGGTTTCTGCTTATTCACAACCCTTAGTCCAGATGAGAATCATGTTTATCAGAGTTCATTTCACTACAACATCCTGGTTCCTTCTCTTCAGATTCTCTACTTGCTAGTTCTGTTTTTCTGGAGAAAAAAGCCAGCTGAGTTTTTCTATAACTCAAACAAAAGCTAGTAAAGAATCCTCCTTTGCTGGCTTAAGGCAAGAAACAGATGAGTCTGAAGATTTTCCTGTGTAGTGAAGGTAAACTGAAAATCTGGGTAGGATGCTGACTAGTAAGACATGTTTTTAAAGCACAGCTAGAGGAAGTTTTTCTATGCAGAACACTGACTTGTGACCAATCTTCTTTGTTTACTTCATCCTGACAAAAGCATCTGTGGCACTGAACTAAAAGAATTTAGGACTTTTTTTTTTTTTTTTTTTAAAGTCCATAGTTAGAGCAGAATAATTCAAACAATAAGGAGCAAAAAGTGGCAGAACTTGGATTCAAGAACTGTATTGGAACACAATTTCCTTCCTGTCTCTAAAATACTGTATAATAGTGCATATGTCTAAAGACATGCATTTATAGATATAACCTCCCTGGAAGCAACAGGTACTGGAGTAATCTGAAGAGAAAGAACCAAAGGAGTTATGAAAAGCATAGAATTGATTTCCTATTTGTTCATCTACTTCATTAACAGAGAGGGAAGAAGAGAAAACCCATTTGACTGTGTGTACACATCAGATAAGCAGAAATACTTGTGTTAACATGAAAACAAAACCATTTTTTTCTATTCGAGATAAAAATACTGTGTGGGTGTGGGTGTGAGCACATACTCATTTCTAATCATACAAGGCTGGAATACAGTACAACTATTGGGTAGACAAGCTTATTTTTTAAAAAGCCCTGAAGATTCATGCATAAAACCAAGTAAAATTTAGTTTATCAATGTAGTGTTATCAAACTACTTAAGATGTATTCATATTACACAAACATAAATATGATATGAAATATGCACTTGAACAAACAGTGTTTCCAAGTGCTTTACAGGTTTTTAACAAGCAATATTTCCATCATCTATTAAAGGTGCAATGCATTTTAAAAATGGTAAGTTTAGTTTTATATAGCCCTTTATTTATGAAACAGAAACTGAAAGCATTATTTTTTAAGGAATATCAATCAGCTAAAAGTACTCCATTAAAATTCTGAACAGAACTTTCATCTCTAAAAAAGTTCTAAAAGGAAGATATCTGAGCTTAAAAACCTAACACTTTCAGTTCATCAACCAAGGGATAAGATCTGCTAATTACAGCTACATGTTAGCTCATAGCTATGTGCAGATTTTTTTGAGCTAAGTTTGGTTATACAATTAAAATTATTTAAAGCTGCAAAATAAAATTTTACAAACAAACAAACAAAAAAAGAAATAAGGAAAACCACACGCACAATTCAGTATTTAGAAGACCTAATAAAAATTATCCTTATCTACACTTTAAAGAAAACAAGCTACATAATGTTATAATACAGAATTACTTCCTAGAGAAACATCGTATGCTTATGAATTTTAAAAAGTGATAAGTTACATCTAAGGCACAAAAATATTCAACAGCTGAACTATTTTATTAAAAATCAAAAAATGGGATTATAAAACTTAGTTAAAGGGACATCCTCAACTTAAAATCACTCCTCTGGATTCTTCTCTTATAAGCAACACCTAACAATAAACAAACTGAAAAACATAGAAATCTCTCTCCTAACTTTTCAGCTTTAGTACTTGCTGTATTGTCAGTTTCACGGTTTCCTGTCTAAAAGGCTCGTGTGTGTGCGCGCGCGCGCGCACACACACACACACGCTCTTATGCATGAACACCATTAAAACAGGCAAATGTGCAAGTAAAACACTGACACGGGTGATAAAGAGTAGGTATAATATCCAAAACTAATTTTAAGCTGATTTAATGCTGATTATGTCCCTTTAACCATGCTTTAAAATTTAAGGAAAGCCACTATAGAGCAGTTTGCCACCTACCTTTGTTATTTCCTTCCCCCCAGATACAAGATGGAGTAAAAGCTAAATTAAAAAGGAGACTTCGTGTTTGGTAACACGTGTATTTAATAAAGATTTAGCTAAGATGTCACCTATCCACAGTAGTGGAAAGAACTGCTCTATGGCATTCATAGCCTCAGTTTTATTTTTATTTATACATTGCACCTTTAACCTACTGAAAAGGTCAAAAGGGTTCCAATTAACCTTTTATAATTATTCAAGAATTTTCCCACCTGCAAAGATGCTAGCGTTCACAAGGAAAAATGCAATTCCTTTTAACCCCTTTTAGACCAAACCTATTACTTTTATCTTCACCTTTCAAACAAAAGGAGAGATTGTGTAACAAAACCCCATCAGCTAATCTTGTATTGCTCTTTACTTTCAAGAACAGAGGGACTGGGAACTACTTAAAGTCAACTTCAAAGGGATTAACAGGATTATCAACTGTGTTAGTACGTTTGGTCAAAAGTACACTGTGACAAACAGAGTACTCATTTTGAAGCTGTGGTCTTGAAAGGGTTTAAAAGAGTGACTAGTGAAAAGAATCTGAAAAGATTCTGTACTTACTCCTCGGCCTCGGCCTCTGCCTGTTGATGGTCCTCCAAAAGCATCATAGTTTCTGCTTCCAAATCCACTTTCAGGATAAGCAGGCGTTCCTCTCCCCCGAGAGCCTACAGGTGCAGGCTTCATATGGGGTGAAGAAAAACTGCTGTAGGAAGAGTAACTCTCTCTTCCTCTGTCCTCCATAAACCCAGGCCTCAATTTTGAACGTGAGTAAGGTGCTTCCCAGCTAGACCCGCCCTGGTTTCTACCTCCGAAAGAGTCAAGGCTATTCCGGTAGGAGCTGTCAAATCGACCACCATAACTACCTCCGAAGCGGCTTTGTTCGGGTTCATTATAACCATAGCCAGATCTGTATAGATCTCGCCCACCCAGAGAAGACCCGGAGTCGTAAGACTCATAAGGTCCAAACCTGGAAGAGTTGCACAGTGAGGAAAAAAAAAAAAGTAAGCTTACCAGTGTTATACATTTCAAAAGACAAGTTATCAGTTGACATTTATCAACTAAAATTAATTTATACTATATTGGTTTGTACAGTTGTGTTATTGTTTATCTTGATTAGGGCTGGGCATTCAACTTGTGACCAGATAGAAAGCTATCTGTGTCATTTTCTGTAAAAAGAATTCTAAAGTTCAATAGGCCTGAACTTTGTTAAATTAAATTTCTCAGCATCGTTTACTAAATGTTATTTGAGCCCAGCCCTAGTCTCAGGAAAATAATCACCTGCAGATGTTTACAGGCTAGTAAGACTATTCCTTCATCAAGGTCATACCTAACATTTTAACATTTGAAAAGCATTTAAAAGGTGGTTTAATTTTTCAACGGGAAAACAGGACAAAATATATTTAGTCTTTATAATGAAGAGGTGATTCTTATGCACCCCATGATTAACATGCACCCATCCTTTGCTTGCAGACATTAAGTCTGGCAACTTCAGGATTTGAAAAAGCTGTACAAAGTACACACTGCACATGGACATAGTCCATGGGAATCTCAAGGTAGAGTGATAAGTAACAACTTTAGTTATTTACTAGGGGCCTGTTTTGCTTCAGGAGTTTTTGAAAGGAAGAAAAGGGCAGGGAAAAGGACTCATTGACATCCATAACTATACTAGGAAGGGAAGCTCATTAGTCTCCCCCGCAAGATTAAAACAGGACAGTTCAGCAGAAATTGGGAAAGTCAGCCCTTTTACTAACAGAATACAAACTAATAAAACAGCCTCAAATTACTACCCTTGTCTAAGATAACAAGAATTTCTTCATTGTAAAGGAAGTTAGCCTCAGAAGACCCCAAACTACACAGAAAATGACACTATATACAGAAACAATCCATGCACAATAGTAATGAGGCAAGACACATTTTAATGTTCAAGGAACCGGTCAACCTTAATCATATACAGATTACTAAATGGTAGGTACATCTCATTCCTGGACCTGTATGCAAATTTTAATTGTGCAAAATATTATCAACCAACTCTTTAAAAAGAACTTCAACATTTTCTCTAGCCTCTTCTGCCCTTGCCCAGTGGCACTGCAATGGCTACATACAGTTACTGTACAGTAGTCCTGCTATGGCCAGACAAGGATTAAAATATGCAAAAGAGGACAAAACTAGGAGAAAATTTAAACTGCTGGATGTTATTTTCTCTCATAAAGAAACACTCCCGAGAAGAAAGCTAATTTGTATAATGTACTAAAACCTGAACTTATTTGCAAAACCACAATACCAGAAATGTTATTTTTGGACTAATTTTACGGAATATCCCAGAATATACATAATTTGGGTGCAATTAGTACCTGCCAATAAAATAATCTGGACATGACTGTAAATAATAATATCAGTGAGCATTCTTACAATTTATAATTAGAATTAAAGAACACATATCCTAAATGTTCCTTGAAAATGGAATGTTGATAGATTCAGTCTTAAGCACTGAACCAATTAAAGCCATTTTAGTTAGGGACTGCAATGTCAGAAATATTAAATTATGCCAATGTAAATTTACTGATCAGTTACAGACTAGTGAAAGTTACTAGATAGAAAGCAATCTTTATAGTTAGATTCAAAGAAGCAGGTTATCATATGACTGCCAGAATTATCCACAAAAAATAGTGATTGTTTGGATAAATCAGCTGTTACAACATAACATTTTCCAGTTTTTCTTACACAAAACTTACAGAAAGAAAGCCCATATAATCAAACAACATGCCTAAGGAACACTTAAGTTGGAAAAAAATAATATTGATTTATTAAATTATTGAGACAACCGAATAATTATTTTACCTGTTGCCGCCACCACCTCCTCCTCCGCTGCCGCCACCTCCTCCATGACTATCCATCCCATATGATTGGTTTAAGTAAGAGTCCATGGGTCTTGGGCCACCATAGGCTCCATGTCCATAATCACGGTCCATGTCTAAAAAGAACAACCAAAAAATTGGTGGTGATGATCAAAACACCACCCCAGTCTTTCAATATTAGTCTTGCTGACAAAAGCATAAAAATATCCTGTGGCTGGTAGTTGAAGTTTGAGACATGTAATCTTATAGTAAATTGCAATTCTCATAGCACTGAGGATGGTTGGAATGGCTTAGTATGGGAAATGGTGAACTTAGAATTGTTTGGTGTCTTCACCAAAGACCTACAAGACCCAGAGTGCTTGTACTAAAAACATTTTCTCTCATCTCTAAACCAGCTTTCTATCTCTTGCTTTGTTTCTTCTAGTTCTCATAACTGTCTTCCTTCTGCTGCTTCCTTTAGCAGCTTCTGTATCACTTTGTAGCTCTCTTAGCTCTTTCATTCTTTTCCCCGGAGTTCTTCAGCTTTCCTTCCTGAAGAATTCTCCCATCCTCTTCTTCACCATTATCCACCATTCTCTGGTACTCTTAAAATATTTCTTCAGTGTTCTCCACCACCTAATATTGTCTCATGAATGCTTGACATATCTCATCTTGTAATGCACATTTAACTTCCACCCTCCCCTTCGCCTTATGGGACTCTTACCAAGACTCAGCAGCCAGTGATCACTAACTGCTTCACATGTGGTTTCTTTCTTCCTTATCTCTACTTATTCTGATACAAAGTCAGTTCTGGGTTGTTTCTTAGCCCTGGGGTCAGTTCTAATGAAAACTTTCTCCCCTGCCAACATCTCTTAGTGACTCTTCTTTAATTACACTGGTTAACTATCTGGATGAACCATTTAAAGTTCCATCTCCTCCTCCCCCTGTTGTCACCTGCTTTATTATGCAATTGAAGTCCCTATTATCTGCAGTCTCCCTCCAACCATATAAACTGCTAGCTTTCTAAGCAGAGCCTTCTTCCCCTCCCATACTGGTGCTACATATACATTGAAAACTTCTCATTCTGTTCCCCAGATTGATATAGATTGCAGTCTGCCACTGATGTTGTCTTCTATCCACTGTGCTTTTTACCTCTGGATTATTGAATGGTATTGCCATTCCAGCTACTTTTTTCTCATTTGTCCCTGATCACCAAGATGGTCCCCATCTTCACCTCTTCTCAAAACATTTATAAACCCTCTCCTCCAGTATACCACATTCTGGGAGACAGATGTTAATATGCCTTTACTTGATTTAACATTGGTTCAGTCTGCCCCAATCTTTTCCTTGATATGACACTCCTGACATAAAATGAAGCTATAATCAATGCAATTTTGCTTGGGTAAAATGGAATGTGCCTGTCCCTTTAAGGATCATCTGTGCCAGTGCTTGTCATGGTCAACTCCTGCCCTCCTCCCCTCATATTGCTCCTGCAAGCTGTCTGGGTGCTTTTGCAGCTAGGAAGGCTTCCATTTTCCCTCCTCTTCCTATCCCCTCCTGCTCTCTACTCTGGGCTGGAGCCCAGGGGAGTTAATGGCAGGAAGCTGCTCTCTGGCTCTGACTCCAACTTGACTCCCTCTTTATCAGGTTTCTTTTTCCTCACTTTATCCCTGCGCTTTCTTCCTTTTCCCTATCTCGCTGGCTCTTTTCCTTGCTCCATCTCCACTTCTGTTGTCTGCGGGGTTTCTTCCTTCTTCCCCTCCCTCACCTCCATGTCTTTTGATCCTTTTGTTGCTGTTCTCTCCTCCCCTTTCATTTTGTCTTGTTCTCTCGTGCAGCCTTTATTACAGAGATTCCTCTTCCCTCCATCTCCATTTCTCCTCCCTAAGGAGTCCCATCTACTATTTGGATTTCAGTCTCTCCCCCCTCCTCTCCCTCACTGCCTCTTTCCAATTCTGGCGGTTCTTCGGGGGGGGGGGTCTGACCTTGATTGCAAAAGCTGTTGTGCACCTAATGTACAAGTATCCCTCCCCCTCACAAGCAGTGCATTTTGTGAACTCCTGACACTCTGCTGCTCTGTGCCCCATCACTTCACATGTGTAACACTGTGCAACCAGGTGCCCCTCCTTCCTGTATCTGCTACACTGCTTCAGCTGCCAGTGGCAGGTTATAAAACCCTAATCTGGCCCTACCTGGATGGACCACAGATAAGAGATGCTGCACTCCACCTGAGCCCCACTTGTTTGGTTTTTAACACTGCTTAAGCCCTCCAAGTTCCCATCCAAATACCATGTCTGTCCCTCACTTTCTCTACCCACAGAACTCTTTGCACACTATTTTCCAGGTACCTATTTCTTCTGCCTCCAATAGATCTGTATACATTCAGACAATAATCACTCTCCCTTGACTGCTCTGCTGCTAGTCTTTAACCCTTTTAATTCCTCCGGCCCCCGTTCCTCTGCATATCTCTCCCAAATCTGTGATACACATCTTTGTTCCAGTAACTCAGTTGCTACATCTTTTGGCTAGAGAAAGCAATCAAGTCGAGGTGAGCTGTCTGCACGCCCACTATCTCAAACAGTACCTTCTCCACAAAATCACATTTGTTCATCATGAATCCCTTCTACTCCCCACTGCCAATTAATGGTGTCCTTATCCATAGTTTCCACTCTGGACCAGCATCCTGCAGCATAGCATCTCTTCCATGTCTTCTTGCTGTGCCAGTCCCAGTGGGCCAAGCTTCTGCCACACTCCCAAAGATGCTTCTCCAGCTGCTCCCATCACCCTTCTGGCCGTGTCTCTCTCACCACTACCTTTTCTGCCACTGCTTCTGCTCTTGCTCCTGCCTTCACCTTTTCTGTCTTTTCTCTCCACTTTTCCACCGTTACCCACTCTCTGTGCGTCTCCAGGCCTTCACTTCCACTCTTCATTTTTCTTTCCACTTCCTGGTTATCAGCCACCACTGACATTGTTTTGGGCTTCATGTTTCCCTCCTCCATTTCTGTCATCCCGATGCTCCACTGATATCTTCCTCAGTCATTAAGCCATTAATTAGGCTCTCTGCTGATCACCTGATCTTAGTCAAAAGGCTGAGATGCTGATGGGAACCTACCACAAGGATAGGTTACTGCAGCCCATCTGAATAATAGATATACTAGAGCCCATTAAGTACAATCCTCCTCATCACTGACTCTTTTTAAAGTCACGGTGATCCGTGCCATTGTATACAGTTCACCCAGAATCCCTCTGTTACCCCCTATCTCAGCCTAGCGCATATGATTAGTGTGACCTTGCCCTCCATGCAGTGAAGCCAGATCAGGTTGCCCTGCACCTTAGGAATGCCTCCCAGGAATGCATAACAACACCTGTTTCATCATGAGTGGGGGCTAATTAGCACATGGATCCTTTGGGGGGGGGGGGGGGGAAGAGGAGGGAGTATCTGGAGTATACACACATACTGAGCAGTGTTAAGCTATGGGGTCACTATGGAGGGCAAGGCCACACTAATTATATGTGCCAGGCTGAGAGAGGGGGCGACAAAAGGATTCTGGGTGAACTTAATACAATCCTGGGGCTCACCTTCACTTGAAATGTGGTTGACTCCAATAGGCCCCAGCCGAGCATACTGTGTGGTAAATCACAAGCCTTTTGGCTTTGGACTAATACCATACATAGTTTATATTAGATATAAGTAGATGCCAAAATACTGCGCAAAAGTGTATTTATGAAACACTTGTGCTAAAACTTGCAGCACTTACCAAAAAGGTAACATGCATCAATTCTAGATGAACTAAGACCATGGGTCTATATGCAAATTGTTATAGCCATGTTTAATTTCAAGGTTATTGTTTTCAAATGAGCTCCTCACTTCCATGTTGCTCAGGGAGAGCAGGGTCTGATAGTAAGGGGAGGGGGAAGCAGCTGTCAGGGGGAAAAGTTGGGAGAAGCAGAGAGCAAAAGGATACCCCCAGATTTATCTTCCCTGCTACAGCAGTGTCAGGGGGACAAATTCAAGGCAAACCTCCAATAATTAGATTCTATACCTGGAAAGTTATAATAAATGTATAAGTTTTCAATATATAGAATCTAATTATTGGGGAGTTATCTTATAATCAGGGCCATCTTCTATTTGAGTAAATACAGCAATACTATTCCCTTTCCAGATTACAACCAATTTAATTAAATTTCACTTTCTTATTATGAATTTAATAGATTTTCATTCCAGCTTTACAGAATCACAGAACTGGAACAAACTTCGAGAGTCATCTTTCCCAACACCCTGCAAAGATACAGGATTTGCTGTTCTTAAATCATCTTAAACAGATGCCTGCCCACCCTCACTCTGTTGAAATGAGATTCTTCAACTTCCCTAAGCAGCTTGTTCCATTGTCCTACTTGATTTTGCAGTTCAGAACTTTTCCATGGGGTATCTACAACTCCATCTTCTCTCATATACTTCATTTTCCCCTCTACACAGAGGGGGCAGAGCCACACAACTGCTTTATTGTTGACGCTTACCAGGTCCTCATCCTGGGTGCGCAAGTGAGCTGTACACAAGGTGTTGTTTAGCAGTCTGTGGGGCACTGCCACACTCGCATACTGGACTGTCTTTTAAGCCAGCATTTCTTAACCCATGGGTCTCAAGAATATACAAAAGGGTTGTGGACCAACTTTAAAAATGGACTCCCCTTTAAAGGAGAAAAACGTGGAAAACCATGGCTTTTCCCTTGCAGGCTGTCATAGTTCCAGCCTGCAAGGGGCTGCTTGGGCCCCCGCCCATGTTCCATACACACCTCCCCTGCACCACACACTGTGGGGGTGGGGCTTGGGGGCAGCAAGTCAGGACTGAGGAGCACTGGGTCAGGATTGGCCATCCATGTTTACAAATGGGTCCTGGTACAAAAAAGGTTAAGAACCACTGCTTTTTAAGCCTATCTTATAAAGTGTAGCATCAAAGTGCCCAGTTCTAGAGAAAATCCTGTTTTGTTTAATTCTTAAGTTGCAGGGGAGCTCGTACCCAGGTGGATAGTGTTGGGTCACTTGAGAAGAGAATCATCCCACTTTTTGGGGTGTTGATCAAGTGTCCAAATGGCACTGCTCCCACCTCCACACTGTTGCAATTGTACCGGCACTTCTGGTCTAAATGGATTTTTTGACTTTCTAGTCGTTTATGTACTAGTTTCTCCAAGACTTCATGAAGCAGATGCTCCTGGTTTTGTTCGGCACACTGAGCAAGCCCACAAATTGTCTTCTGTCTTCTTAGTTGGGAAGGTAGCATCCCAGATAATACTGGCAGCATGTTGACAGGAGAATGTTACACACCCCATTAACCTTCTCATTGCTGAGTTGGGGCAACATCAACTTTGTTGGTACAACTACTGCACCCCCATGCTTAATAACAATATTCAGCAGGGACTATAGTAGTGCAAGTGGTGATGCGCTTAGAGGGGTATCTTGAATCAAGTCTAGGCAGGAAAAGCTAGTGAAATTACAGCAACTACAAGCCACCCATTCAGGTGTTTTGCACTGGAATTTTTAACAAATTCTAAAATTGCCAAAAGTTCAAACCATAGGTAACTAGGAAAAGATGAAACAGTTGATAGGCTCACTTAAAGTTTGTGCCCTCTACTGCCACCTGCTGGCCGTTTCCTATAACATATACACACCATTTTCTTGGCAGCTAAAATTCAGAGGATCTAAACGCAACAAAGCATCACTGATCCCCAATTGCCTACACAGTGCAGAATGTTATGGTCAAACATTACATATAGCATGCAACATCAACAAATGGATAAT